TCTTCTACTACAGCAATCAACCTGCTGCTGCGGATTGTCCTATTGATTGCTGATTGAATTCATCCCTGCAAGCGATGATTTGCGCTCTGGATATTCTGCATTTTTGTGCAATACACCACCTCCAATAATGAACCTCACGCTTTAATCCAGAAAATTCCAGTCACGTCTGTTTTGGGGGCTATTTTCAGTTGCGATGACATTAGAGCACTGCTCATGAAGTTCCTCATGTTAACATTAAAATTGTGAGATAGCGCGCAGGTTTGCGCAGAGGCGATTTTTCACCTCTTATCATAAAATCGTCACTATGCAAACATTTAATACTTTTCACAAAACAAAGAGCTTTTGATTTTTGTTTAGCGATTGTAAGCAATGTCATATACCGTTACCCCCTAATTTAGCGAAACTGTAACAGGAGGTTGAAACATGTGGAATATTTGTTGGCCCACCATGCATAAACTGCTATAGACTGGTCATGAAAGCACTGCATATTATTGTAATCGATCAGGGAAATGCATTGGAGTAGAATCCTCACGTTAAGTCCTCCTGGTTCTATCATTTCTTTAGCAGCAGTTCATTCCAGAATTGAGTTTTCCAAACTCAATTCTGGAAATGAAACACATTTATTGTGCAAGTGCAATGGATGGCACACCTTTATATCTTCATAACATACTCAGTGCACATATACCTTTTCATTTTATTAATTGATGAATGTTATACATGACGTTGCTGGGTTCCTGTGCCCATTAGCATGGAATCCGAATTGTATCCATCCATACAGGAAAGACTGGGAAGTGAAAATGTAGACAGCCTTTACTCTCTAATCCAAACTGGAGCAAACCTGTTGCAGAGGCCCATTATTCTCATTGGGGAAGATGCTTCAAGTAAGTCCGTTATGATATTAATTCAGCTTCATTCCTTGCTACCACACGGAAGTAGAAATGAAACAGAAACTTGATGCACATTGCAATGAACATATGTATTTTTAATACAAAATTCAATGAATACAAAATGTATAGGGATGCTATGCCATACTTGTAGCAACTGAGGAGCCTCGAGTGGACCATAAATTGAGGCTTTCAACAATGTGCTCTAATGACTAAAATTTAAATAAATCAATATGGAATCCGTCGATAGAAGGTAGCACGTTATTAAAGACAATTTAATCTCTACGTGCGCCATCATTGGATTATTACAACCGATTCGATTCGTTTTTGGACTAATATTGAGGTCATCTCGATTTGTAATATGTACCATATATCTTCCAACCTAGCTAAATTATGATATCCATAGAAGTCGCTTGCAGTGAGGCCTTTTTTCGTTGTTGTTTAATCAGAAGACCCAAGTACGGCCTTTGATAGCGTTGAGATTCACCTGTTCCAGGATTGAAGACATTCTTAGCATACATTCATTCAATGCAGTATACAAAAAAGAAATATAACCAAACGAACACATGACATTAAGAAACACAATCAGCCAAGTTTATTAGACGTTTCTAGCCTCCAAGCGAAGGTAATTTGCATGATCGCGTGTCATCACATATTTACATTACAATAGTAATAGAGAAATTATACCTTAGGGCGTTTTACTTTAGACATTTGGCAACACAGCTACCCATGAGTAAGCATCTGAGTTCATTTTGAATTGTGTTGAGGTCAGAAGGTAACATGCAAGAATGCACATTGGAGGAGGAGCGTGCTGTCGTCAGATTTTTAAGCGCTGAGGGTGTTAGTAGCACCGAAATTTACAGTAGAAATAATGGTCAATACGGGATAAGCTGTACGAACTGATGGAACGTCTACAAAGGGATCGACCGTTGAAGCGCGTCACTGGAAACTTCGACCGTCCGTCCTGAGAGGAGAACATCCGGTAACTCATTTCTGCCTTCATTAAACATTTTCATCCATTTGTAGACGTTCATTCTGTACTATTAGTATTTATTATTTACTGAATCGTTCGCTGGTATCAACCATTAACTAAATGTAATGGATTCTACTCCAATGGAGGAGTTCATTATTTTATGAAATGTACTCACTGTGAAAACTATTAATGTACAGGTACATGGATTGAGAAAATCTGCTGATCTATAGAGAAATATGGAATATATGATTCACAGGTACTTTCCTACCTCGAGGTAACCGAAGAGAGGATGTGAAAGAAGAAAGGCTCGGGATCCTTCTCTTTGCAGATAATACTTCAAAAAGCTTACGCTTCCTCCCCATCGTGCCCTCGGCAAGGAGTAAGGAACTTTTTTTTGCTTCAGTGTCTCAGTCGTAATATGTACAATATGAGGTGGCGTCAACACCTCCTATGAATTTACATTTTTAACGGACATTACTTACCAATTAAATACCCATTCTCGCCTGCCTTCACTACTGCATTTATGAACATAAAGAACTCGTAATTTTTGCGATATGAAGTTGACAACATTGTTGCTAGTGAGTTTTTAATAATGACAGCCCCGCTTTCAGATTGTACTGCTGTTAAGCAGCGAATTGTCAGCGAATCTGAAAATATTAACTATATCTAAACTTTTTTTTCACATTTTCCTAAACCGTAGTGCACGACGCGCGCCTTTGTATGAGTATCAATATTGCAATGAGAACTCAGACGCCCATTAGGGATACTCTTGAAAACAACCGCAATGTATAAGTAATGTAAATTGTATATACCAATAATTTGAGGCAGCCTATCCCAGCACCTAAGTAGTGAAGGGCATACATCGATTCCCCTCCATTAAGTATGGGAAACCATTTCAAATAACCACTCCAACCACGAGGAACATCTTATTCAAATAGAAATGTGGAGTGCAATCCTTTTTTTAAATCAGTCACATTGCAGCAGAATTATGAGTGACGGCGGTTGAAGACCTACTGAAGTTACGGTGGTTGAAGATCGAGACATGTTTAATTAATTTCAAAATGTTCTATTCATTTAGCGGATATTTTGGGGATTTCATTGGAGAGTTGTCCCCCAGTGTTTGAGGAGGGGCATTTTGATTCCTCTCTGAGAAGAATACATTTTCAAGGTAACATGCGACTGTCATGGGACAAACACACCTTGCCCTTGTTGTGGTCTCTCCGCAACAACCTCAAGAAGGCACCACCTACCAGCCCACGTAAGGAGGAATTAGAAACATCCTCGTGTGTCTCTCGCATTGTTCCCTCAGTGGGCCATTCCAAGGCAGCCGACCGAGGGATGACGCTCGAATACCTGAGAACATTTTGAAAATTGTCAGATTCAACAGGTCTTTCATGAAACCCCAAAATCCGAAATATGTTATTTGTCTCACCCGGTAAAGGAAACATTAATTTTGAAAATACATGATATCTGGAATCTGTGGCCCCTTGGGCGAATTTAAAAACTCTCGAACTACACGATTTAGAAATGCGTGAAATGACTCATATTGCAGGCCTGAAACAGTGTAATCCTATTTTATCATTAGCATGAGGTTCATAAGAAACGTGAATAACAAGATATCCTTTAGATGAGGCTTACAAAACAAATGTTTCCTTTATTTTGCAGTTCTAATAGTTCAATGTTACTTATCTGCAACTGGATCATTCCACGGCAAATGGACCAGCGAGTGAGCTCGACCATCTCGGATTTCAACAAAAATCGACATGAAATCCCAAAAATTTTGATATTTCAATTTAATTTTTGACATATGGTAATATAAAGAACTATTATCAGTATCATAGAATTGAATCAGAGGTGGACTCTTAGTACTGCAATTTCGGTTCGTTTATGTTGCCTCCCACATAAAATAAGGCAGAGGTGAAATTCTAAACAATTAGTAAACTTTGAAGAGGACGTGTTTATTATAACCACAATTTTTCTGGTCACATACCAGTGAGAAGTTTCTAAATTCATTCAGGTGGTCAACCGTCATCCCTCGGTTAATTGGCACGGAATGGGCGCTGCCTTCATAATTGCCATGTTATTTATTCATAAGGAAAATAAGAGACATGTTCTTGGTTTATTCTTCACTTAACCCAATATCACGAATGTTTTACATTCTAAAGTACAGGTATAAGAACTGGTTCATGAAATTGAAATGCAATATTGTGAAATTCATTGGAAAGTTCAGGACGAAGTATATAAACTCAAGGAAAAAATTGGCATATAATTATGAAAAAGCGGGAATTGTTACAGTAAGTCAAACTCACCGTTTACGCTATTGTGTAGGTGATAATTATTCATGTAATTGATATATAAGTATCTGACCAGATAGCAACTAACGTATTTCCTTTAGATGTGGCACATTGTTGTAGATCCACTAGCACACTCACTGAGTGGAATACATGGTAATTTGAAAAATGTGACGGAAAAGAAGAAAACCTGGTATTAATGGCCTATAAATATCAAATATTAGTTCATCAACATGACTATACTATTTTTTCTGTACTTTTGTATGTAATCCCTGTAATACTTGCAAAATCTGCAAGAAATATGCAAGATCGGGTCTTTCCAACATGGCCCCATTTATGAATGCACAGATATATGCAGTATATACCTGCTGTACGTTGGTACATTTCCTGCAAAAGCACGAGAGTTTCAGTGAACGAATGTCAGAGCCTCATATTTGCCCTTTGCTCCAGCACTGGCATTCCAGTAAATTCCGCCGAAAGTTACTGACAATGGCAATTTCTTTTTATCACCAACACAGTTCCTTACAGGAAAGACCACTAACATGTTTACAATGAGTCGCAAAGTGAACGTAGTTGACGCCTGCAGTGGGGCCAACAATTTCGACTAGTGTTCTTTGAGCTGCAGCGAATGTTCCTTTCCTTTTTGATCAGCCTAGTAGTTTTCCGGGTATTTGCATATATGAAATTGACGCCCAGAGAGAAATGGACAATGGTAACAAGCATTATCATCACCATAAGATAGCTCAGGTTACTATGTTTCTTTCTCATTCAGATGGTCAGCCTCCTCCTAACCCAATCCTCAGACAGAAGCTTCAAAATTGTTGGGACTACATTCTGGACATCTTCGGATACATTTGGCCAATCACTCCTTACGTCATTTTTGCGTTCATGTTCTATTCAGCTTTCTGCATTATAAAGGATATGGAATCTTCAAAGTGAGTGCAATGCCAATCATTCTGATTCAAAATGTACTATATTTTAAGATTTGTGCAACTAAAGTAACTTCAAATGAAAGTATTAGTCAATTTGCTGCAAAGGCGTATTGGACTCATGAATATACCGTATACTGCAGCAAGATATTCTTGTGAAAGACAAAAACAGGAAATTTTAACATGACGCCTATGCCAGGCATGATGTAAAATTGACTTCTCTGACACGACTTTGGTAACGTCAATAACACCCACATCTAATATATATATAGACGATCTTGACTGACTGACTGACTTACGCTAATTCTAACCATGTTCTAGAAATGTTAGAAATCTGAAACTCGGTACACATGTACCATTTGGGATGCAGAGTTCAGCAAAAAATCAGACTTTGGAGGTACATGCCCTGGGGGTACACATTTTGGGGGGGAAGATTTTGCTCAAATATATTTTTTGACAGATGAGGATGGCATTCAGAGAATCAACTGGATGTGCCGGTTCGATGGTGTAGTAGAAGCATAACTGACTAGAAAAATGAAGGCCCTTGTTCAAATCCCGGCCATTCCTTGGCTTTCCTTTGGCTTTTTTTCCCTTCCATGTCCCGTTTCTCATTCCCCCACTATAACATTATTTTTGCTTAAGTAAAACGGAGTGACATGGAAAGCTGAAACTTTGCATGAATGTGACTCCTGAGACAAGGAGTTAAAGAATAATGTTAAGTCGCGAAACATCCCCTGGATAAATTTTTTCGAGGTGCGATGTTTTGAAAAAAAAATTTTGTCGTAGGGAATTGGACAGATATGGACATGTGAAACTTGGCACACGTATAAGTGACATGCTATTGCTGAGCTGAGGGAGTATTCAGCTTTCATGGTGCATCCTTTCCGGCATAGCGTTAGTGTAGGTTGGCTTTTCCAAACATGTTTTTTCACCATTGAAAAGGGCAAACGTATAATATCGAAACTTTGTGGGCATGTAGTTCACTGAGGATGGATTTCGGTTAGAAAAAAATGGTACGTTTCGGTTGAAACGACTCAGGGCACATATTTTGCAAAAGACGTATTTTCCCACGAATTTTCTGATCCAGCAAAACGGAGGGCGCAAGAAAGTTTAAACTTGGCAAAGAAGTACCTGATGAATAGCTGAGAAAAGAAAAAATACTTTCATCTATTGCAGGGTGTCCATAAAAGAATGCAACCGTTTAAAAAATTAATACCTCGATAAGTAATGGATGAAACGCAATGATATTTGTATCGAAATGAAGGGGAAGATTGGGAATTCATTTATATCCCGTTATAACATAAATGTCGTTGTCAGCTCGAAGCGCGCCCGCAACTAGGGAATTTCCTTATTTGTGCCTATTTTTGGCGCGCGCCTCACACCTATCAGTACAATGGCAAACCTTCACTAACCACTGGACTGATGCGGAACCGCATTCTTGGGCCCTTCTTTTTGGCGGAAAACACGATCACCGGAGATAATTACCTTGATTAGCAAGAACAATTTGTCTTCCCCAAGTCGACGACATCGAACAAGAAACTCGTAGTGGCATCGTTTTCCAACAAGATGTTGCCCCCGCCCCAATCCTCCATATGTGTTTGGCATTCCCTAAATGAGAGATTTCCAAATCGGTGGATCAATCGGTGGAGCAATCGCCTGGTCTCCAAGAAGTCCAGATTTAATTCCGCAGGATTTTTTTTTTTTTTTTGGGGGGGGGAAATGTGAAAAAAACCTCGTCTAGGCAAAAAAATCCGCGACCTGGGTTATTTGCGAGACAGAATCGTCGCAGCAATAGCAACGATCACACCAGAAATGTGACAGGACCTTGGGGAGAGGTATAGCGTCGATTTGATGTCTGTGGAGCTGTGAATGGCGCTCACATTGAGACTTATTAAGGTTCGTAAATAAACTCCCAGTCTTCCCGTTCATTCAAAATTGTTGCAACAATTACGGAATTTCAACTGTGATTTACTGAGGTCTTAACTTTTGAAACCGTTGCATTCTTTTATGGACACCCTGTATATACAGACGATCGTAACTGACTGACTGACTGACGCAACTTCTAACCATGTTCTAGAAAAGTTAGAAATCTGAAACTTGGTACACATGTACCTACTGGGGTGCAGAGTTCAGAAAAAATCCGACTTTGGAGGTACATGCCCTGGGGGTACGCATTTTGGGGGAGAGACATTTTGAAAGATATATATTGTCACGGATTAGGATGGCATGGAGAGACTTAACGGATGCTCTCGGTTCGGTGGTGTAGTGGCAGCACACCAGACTGGCAATCAGGAGGCCTGGGTTTAAATCCAGGTCGTTCCTTTGCTGTCCGTTGACTTCTCATGCCTTAATACTACTGTTACTCATTCCTCCTCCATAACAATGTTTTCGCTCGAGTTAAATGGAGAGATTCGGAAAGCTGAAACTTGGCTTGGACGTGCCTATCGAGACGATGAGTACGGGAAAAATGTAAAATTTAAGACCCAAGCCCTGTGGGGGCCGACTTTTAGGCTCATATATATTCACGTAATTTTTTTCTTGCCCTGGCGTATTCATCTGGTGTGGAAAGATAAAACTTGGTACATAACTACCTATTGGAATGCTTCATGCAGAAGACGTTAGACGTTGAAAGTAAACACAGATTTCAAAGAGAGATGTTGGACTGCTGAGGCATTCAGCTCAAAAGTCAAATTTCCAAAATATTTTGGGGGCATATTTCTTGGGGACGTTTCAAAGAATTTTTCATATCGCAGCGAATCGGGCAGAGAAAGAAAAGTAGCAGTCGTCGCACGCATAACGGACGTGATTTAAGGAAAAATTCAACTTTTGAAGTGCGTCTCCCCAGAGCACATCTTATGGGTGTGTCGCTTTTCGAAATGCAATTTTTTCACAAGCAAAAAGAAGAAAAATATAAGTCTGGAACTGGGCGGCATGGCGTTCCCTGAGTCTACATTTCAGAAGAAATAAAGTTTTCGTTAAAACACAAGTCAATTTTTTTCAGTCCCATTTTCCGGAATTTTTTTTCATCCAACGAAACAGAGACAGAAAATTTAAACTTCACTCAGAAGTCCCTGTTTGATGGCTTTGTACAGGAAAAATCCAACTTTTGAAATATGCCCCCTTATTGTAGATTATAGGAGGGGAGTATTTCAAAATTTGCTCTTCACCCTTACAGAAAGGGACACATAAAAAGATTTCAAGTTAGGCACACTTGAAATAATAGAAGTAATGATTTTGATTAAAATGAAAACTTTCGTCTCCATATGTCACGTATTTCAATGGGACGTACTTTAAATACGTGTTTGGCATTTCGTAAACAATAGATGAATTAAACACTATCCAAGGTAATGGAGCGCCGAAGTTTCCATATATTCCTTCGGATTCCATGGCTTCACTTAACAAGGATGTCATCAATAGCCCATACTGCATTTCGCCGTTTCGGTGGTGTAGTGGTAGCACACCTAACCGGTAATCGTGAGGCCTGGGTTCAATTCTCGGCTATACCATGCCTTTTTTGGCTTCTCTTGCCTTCCATGTCCCATAGATTGAATAAAACGGAGAGACATGTAAAGCTGAAGCGTGGCATGGACGTCCCTACCGGCACTATGAGTTCAGGAAAAATGCAAAATTTTTCATAATTTCAAAATACAGCAAAACTGAGGGTGCTAGAAAGTTTAAACTTGGCAAAGAAGTACCTGATGAATAGGTGAGTATCTCATACATACGATCGTGACTGGCTGGCTGACTGACTGACTGACTGACTGACGCTAATTCTAACCATGTTCCAAAGAAGTTAGAAATCTGAACCGTGGTACACATGTGCCTTTTGGGATGCAGAGTTCAGAATAAATCTGACTTTGGAGGTACATGCCCTGGGGATAAACATTTTGGTGGGAGAAACTTTTAAAGATATATATTGTGACAGATTAGGATGGCATCGAGATGTTTGACTGGATGTCTCGGGCCCGGTGGTGTAGTGGTAGTACACCTGACACGCAATCAGGAGGCCAGGGTTAAATTCAAGTCCGTTTCTTGGCTTTCTTTCGCCCTCTTATTCCTTCAAAGTCGCGCTACTCATTCCCTTAGTAGTAGTATCTGTCCTTCATTAAAATGGAGAGACATGGAAAGCTGCAAATTGCCATTGACATGCCTACCGAGGCGATGAATTCCAGAAAAATGTAAAATGTATGGTGGGGCATATTTTTAAGTTAGACGTTTTTACGTATTTTTTTTGCCCTGGCGTATTGAGAGGGTGTGGGATGATGAAACTTGGTAGATGAAACTACCTATTGGGATGCTGCGTGCAGGAAAATTCAGATTTTGGAAGTAAATGCCCCGGGGGCACAACTTTCAAAGGGAGATGTTTTCAAATAAGTTTTTTGCATCAGTAAAACTGATGAACATGGAAATCAGAAACTTTCCATGAATGTGACTACTGAGACATAGAGTTAAAGGAAAATTTTAAGTCTCGATACATCCCCTGGAAAAATTGTTCGAAGGGAGAGGTTTAAAAAGAAATTTTTTTGCAGTGCAAATTGGACAGAAATGGAAAGGTGAATCTTGGCGCATGTATAAGTGACATGATATTATTACTATTGAGCTGAGAGAGTATACAGCTTTCATGGTACATCCCCTCCTGGCATAGCTTTTGGGTGCCTCGGCTTTTCCAAACATGTTTTTTCACTAGCAAAAATCTCAAACGTATAAGGTTGAAACTTTGTGGGAATGTAATTCTCTGTGGATTGATTTCGTTAATAAAAAAAGTATGTTTTCGGTTAAAATGCCCCTGGGGCACAAAAGGCGTATTTTCTCGATCCAGCAAAATAGAGAGGGCTAGAAAGTTTGAACTTGCAAAAATAGAACCTGATGGATACCTGAATAAAGAAAATTTTCTACTTTGGTGATTCATGTCATAGGGGCACACCTTTTCGGTGAACATATTTTCAAAAGTTCTCTTTGCTTCAATCAAACTGAGACACATGGAAAGATGAAACCGGGCAAGAACGTGACTGCTGACGCACTGAGCTCAAATGTCAAATGTCAATTTTCCAATATATATTTTTTGGGGGGGGGAGGGCATATTTATTGGGGGCGTAACGTTTTCACAGAATTTTTAATATCCCAGCGAATCGAGCAGAAATAGAAAAGTAGCAACGCACAAAGGGCGTGAAGTTGATTCAAATAAAAATTCATTTTTTAGTGTGCGTGTCCATAGAGCACAGATTTTTGGCGTGTCTCTTTTCCACATACAATTTTTTTCCGCCAGCAAAAAGAGGAAATGTATGAGGCTGAAACTGAGTGGCATGGAGTTCTCCGAGTCTACATTTCAGAAGAAAAAGAAATTGTTAAATACATCAGGGCACTTCTTTCAATCCCATTTTCTTGAATTTTTTTTATCCAACGAAACAGAGACAGAAAACTTAAAAACTTCCCTCAGAAGTACCTGTTTGATTGGTGAGTACAGGAAAAATCCTTCATTTGGTATATGTCCCTTTGCGTAGATAATAGGCGGGAAGTAATTCAAAATGTATTCTCCACCCTTACAAAGCAGGGCACATGAAACTATTTTAAGCTAAGAACACTAGAAGTAAGAAATAATGATTTTGATAAAAATCAAGACTTTAATCCCCATATATCACATATTCCAATGGAGACGTACTTAAAATAGGTGTTTCCCAATTCGCAAAAAAATAACTGAATTAATCACTAGCCGAGGTATTGGAACGCCAAAGGCGCGACCATAGCGAGTTTGTTTGTCCGAAGGGCAAACAAATTCGCTAGTATACTATATATCTCGAAAATAAAAATAAAACAATATCCGCAGATGGAGATTTGCATAACGCAAATAGGGCGATACGCGATGGTAGTCTGTGGATTGGACGGGTTCTGAAAAGTATTGGTGTCCTAAAAGTACTTTATCTGCTGAAACCAATGGTGATGTTCCCATCGGAATCCAATATAGGACCATTTGCTTGTGCTGTCCGCAGAGAAAGGGTCAAGGCCAACTACCTTAATGGCTCTACCATTGAGTGATTTAGTCCTAACCACTGAAGTTTTTCAACATATGAAACTTTTAAACACGAGTTTAGCACTGTAAAGTTGCATTTTATGTATGAAAATACACGTTAAGAAGAAGCTTTGTTGGCAAAGATGATTCTTGATATTTGAGTAGCAAATAGGCTGCCTACTAATAACATACCAGTATAAATACATCTTAAACTATCGAGTTTGTTTGCTTGGATTGTGGTTGTTTGGATATAGAGAAAACTTGAAATTGTTTTTTTTAGTTCCTTGCGGCCCAACATCTGTTGGGATCTTAATGATTATTTTTCCAGTATTTGTATGTACACATGGGAATGTTGGCTAATGTGTGAAGGGAAAAGGCAGAAATTGCGTATTCGATGGGACTAGGTAGATTCTTCCGCAAGCACACAATAATACAAAAGAATCCTTCCTACTTCACATTGCCGTATTAGCTCACACTTACCATGTTTACTATTACATTATAACGCTTTTTCCTTTTAGTTCGAAGATTCTATCACAACAAAGAAGCATGCTGAGGAACGTTCTTTGTGATGGCGAATCACTCATCAATATGGATGATTTTCTCTTCAAACTGGGTGAAGAGCAACTAATTACGATCGCAGAGGCAAAAGAAACAAAAAAGAAAGGGAGCTGTGCAAAAAAAGCCCAATATTTATTCTCAATTGTTTCCCTGAAAACCTCCAAGCTCAAGTACGAAGAACTCCTCCAGAGGCTGCTAAACCAGGTTAAGGATGTCGATGGTATGTCACTACTGATGGTGTTTGTGTTCCATGAGGGTATGCATATGTTCATGAGGCATAAATATGATTAAGCACAAAACGAAAATACTGAGATAATTTAATTTAAAGAAAGGAATAGAGAAGGCGGGCATATTATTAAAGACGAAGGATAAAGAATGAACGGATTCCGAAGTGAAATCTTCAGATCCCAGAAATTACTGCATCAATGGAAATGAAATTAGACGTTTCTTACAAACATTTGGAAATTATTTATATGCAAATAAAATTATGGTTCAACATGATTATTATTTGACGTGGATATGGACCTTAACGGAGAAGGACTGATAGCGCTTTCTTAAAAAATTAAAGAAAAAAAAATTGTTATCCAGTTCCATGATGGATGAGATGGAATGGACCACACGACAAAAAGTGAGGAGAGGAACCAGAGATATGCTCAAGGAATTGTTTCAATGGTAGGATTGAACACTGTTCCTGTAATTCAACTCGATTTCCTTTTCCCTTTATATACTAGAAATTTACATTCGTGCTCTTGTCTTTTCATTTTCCTACAAACTCTCATAACCAAATATACAGTACTCGCGGCCTTAGGCCGCTACGCTGGCCGTCTAATAGACGGAAATTTGAATTGTCTATTGTGAGCATCACGTCTCCATGACATCCACTGTTCATCACATCACCCATTCGGAACTGAACCGCTTCATTAGATTTATGCACATACACCTTACAGCACACGTGGATATTTTGTTTCTAAACACCATCATCATGATATTTGAACTCATTCCCACAATCACCATTGTGAACTCCTTGGTTTGGCTGGTTTTCATGAGACTTAAGACGACTTTGTTGATTTCGTTGTCCCAGCACATTCAATACTCATACATACCGATTGCCTCATGGGCAACTAGCATTAGCATATGGAACAGATACCATTGATTCAGAAACAATACAGGACATTTCCAAGAATTTGTTCACTTTTAGCACAGAAAGAAGATAGCGCATGTGCGACACAATGGTAACGAATAATTCCTGAAAATGTATTGCAACCACATTAGCACCAGTGAGCAGCACTTTTAGAGCCTCAGGGTAAAGTCTGAGTTGTTGCATTTTTTCCGTTGTGCCAGCAATGTGGAACACATGTCCCGTCCCTACTGCAATATGTAGAGTCTGACAGTGTTCCCTGGGACAAACGACTGTAATTATTCAGATGACAGGAGAGGCATGACAAAATGTCCCGAGTTCCGTGGTGCAATGGCAGCACATGCACTGTAGCAATGCTTGCCTGAGCGGCAAGCAGCAAGTCCGGGTTCTATTCCCGGCTGCCCACCGGCTTTTGAAACCTGAATGCTGCATTCCTTGTATCAAATTGCTCAGTCAAAGGCGTATTTCCCCGAAACATTTCTTGATTATACAAAACTTAGCAATATAAAGTTGAAACTTGGTGCAGAATTACTAGACGTATAGTTTAATATGGAAAAATCCTATGTTTAGATTGTCACCTCTGGGCGCCTTGTGGGAGGCAATACCTTCAAATTTCATTTTAATCTTGAAAAATGGGAACATATAAAAAGATAGGAAGCTGAGTACCCAAGAAATCATTGCAGTAATAATTTCAATAATAATCTCGATTACGTCGCCTTATGACTCGTATATCGACATTGACGTACAGAACTTTAACTATGCAGCTGATATTTTGAACACGAGTATTTCTTTTGATATCAGTATACGTGTTTAGTTGTGAGGTTTATACTGAAGTACTTTTTTCAGGAATTTTCTAGGGAATAAATGTTTGTTTTGTAAGAAGCTTCAAAGTAGAGAAATGTATAACTGAGATTTGGTAATCCTGCGGTTCTTGGGATACATATTCTAAGAAATTTCATATTTTAAAGATACATCTAATTATAATAAGGGGATCTAATTCATTTGAAATACTGATCATGCCAAAATATTCCATCTCACACAACGGAGAGATGGAAACTGAACCTTGGGCACAACGCTACTTGCACGAATGCATATCTAGAAAGATCCTATCCTATCAATATGTTTCCTTTTTTGGGCCTACTTTTCGGCGAGACGTTTTCCATGAAATGTATTACTAGTATTACATTAGGAAGGGTAATACATAAAAACTAAAAATACGATTGCATAACCGAGAGAAGACTATTCCAATGAAATTCCTGCTTTGTTTCTCCATTTCAATAGGGTAAAAATATGTTTGCAGCATTTTTCCCAGAAATGTTTACTATAAAGAATTCGAGAGGGTATGGATGACTATAATACAATACAGATTTACCTCTCGGTGCGACTCTTTTGGGAAGTTAAAGATCTCAATTATTTATTTTCCCAAAGATGTCACATAACGGTAAGTCCCTTGACAGAACAATAAATAAGCCGATAACACCATATGTTTTTAAAGATAAGTCAAAAGGGATATTACAGAATAATTATTCATTATCCTAGAAGATGGAGTGCGGAAGGCGTGACCAAAGACACAAGTTTTAGATCAAATAAATTTAAAAGATCATCTATCTTGCTTTCCACAGCGAGGTCTTCACCACCAGGTTCCCTGGAAGACGTATTTAAGAGAAACTGGGATTTCCTAGCAGACGACATGGACACCGAGAAAGTTGCGTATATTCTGCTCAAGTCGAGGATTCTTTCGTCTGAGGATCGAAAAGACATCATTGCTCAAGGGGTACAGCGAGACAAGACGACTTTGGTTATACTGAAACTGACCAGTAAGATGAATTTCAGAATTTTCAACAAATTTCTGGGAGCACTTGTGAATGTCGGTCAATCTCACATCGCGGAGAAACTATGGACCCAATGTGAGTTATTCATAGCCATGGAAGCTATTAAAGGCTGTTCCGCAACTGAAGGGGCCACAGAGATAAGGCTCGGCGCTAATTCCTGCCGGCTCGCAAGGGGCTCAGTCGAGGTGCTCCCCCGCCCAGAAAGGGTTCACTTCATTGTTAGGATATTACGAACCAAAACAAAATAAACCGAAACGAACCGACTTTAAAGTCTAAACTAAACCAAACCAAACCAAACTAAACTAAAGCAAACCAAACCAAACCAAACCAAACCAAACCAAACTAAACCAAACCAAACTAAACCAAACCAAACTAAACCAAACCAAACTAAACCAAACCAAACTAAACTAACATGAGACTTCGCAACTCCATTTCAGAATGTCATACCAGGTTCAGATATAGGGCTCTATCCGAAAGTCCGGAGGCAGGATTATTAACTCCCCGACCTCCCCCTCGAGACGATAAGCTCGGCTAAGCCCAGGTCGTTAAGATGTGGCCCCTCCAGTTGCGATACAGCCCTATTGAATTATATGCAAGTTCTAATCTCTATTTCCTAAAACGTATAGGGGGAGACATGGTTGGAGAACATCTGGACCTTGGAGATGCAATTATTAGCGAGTCAGTCATAAGATTTACCTCCACATGACTGAATTCCTCACAAACGTTTTCCTAACATCATTAACACCTGTGCGCCTGGAAAGTTTCCCATTAACGTAGTAACACATTTGTGAAAGTGCTTTAATATGCGCCTCAGGTGTTTTCCAGGAAACCTATTTTAAAATATTTATGTTTAAGTATCCACCAGCCGCACAAAGTAAATGCTAGCGAATACGTAGAGGGCACTCTAGTACTCCCATCATTGTGTCGCCAGGGAGATGGAGAAGTGAACAACTGACATGCATATTTCTGCAAAATACATTGCGCTAAAATGAAGTGCGGGTTATGAGTTTATGAACAGGGGGTTTCCAGACAATAACGTACTTTGCAACTGAATTACGGCATGTTTTTTTTGGCCATGCCGATATATCTTATTTCTCTATCACTTCGTGTGATATCAACACTTTTCTCTTGCAGTGAATGGGAGATCAGAATGGAACGAGTTCATCTATTGAGAAGCATTACCTGTGATGGGGAAGAGCTCATTGACATGGATGACTTTCTCTTCAACTTAAGGGAGGAAGGTCTGATTACAACAGCCGAGTCAAAAGAAATAAAGGAAAGGCAGGACTGCGAGGGAAAAGTGCAATATTTCTTAGCAATCATTGCTGCAAAGAGCTCAAGGATAACATATGAGAAATTGCGAAATGCGTTGGTCGACTGGATGAAGGGCGTTCGCGGTATGTTGCTACTTCCGGATATCATCATAGTGAGTGAATGAAGTTAGAAGGGTGGAATATCCGTCGGTTCAATACAATGTTTCCATAATCTGTCATCTTGGATTCGAATCAAGAAAAACAACCGAGCATATATTAATAGGAAAGGAGCAAGCATTAATTATTGCTCAGTTCTATATGTTCAGGTGTTGGGAATGGGGTGCTCGACTTATGATTATTCAAACCGGAGAACCGGAGATTAAACATATAGCATGCGCGATTCTGGTCGCTATCTAGGCCGAGCGACAATTGATTCTTTTTTGTTTGTTTGTGAGTGTGTGTGTGACAGCTCTACAGGCCAAACGTTTCGAGATATGAACTTTGGGTTTCGACGGAACTCTTCCTTACCATCCGAGGATGTGTCTTTTCGAAATGCAATTTACTAATCTGACATAAGAAAGGGAAGGGAGGCAATTTTCATTGGAAATCGTAGATTAGCTCCACTGAGCTAAGAAATAGAACTGGAGATGGCGCACGATACAATGGATTTGGGGCAATTGGAAGCCATCTTAGTTGGGTCCGTGGTGGCTCTTCTCCATTCACTACAATGAGATTTTCATAAATTCCCATTCCAGTTTTCTTGCTGTCGTGATCATGGTGGCAGGCAGTCATGGTACTGGAGGTCGAATAATTCTTGGGGAGTATCATAGGGCTGATAACGCCATGTCGGAACTCTTATTTCATGTGGGCGAGTCTCCTATTTCTCGAGTGGGCCTCCAAGTTCCAGGCCTGCCTTTGCTGAGATTGCTGGGTCAACTAAGGCGATAACGTTACGGCGCCCTTGCATCATCACAGTCGACATCTTTTACAGCAAGTCTAAAGCATGAAGTCAAACGAACTTAGAGTGAACGTTCAAAGGTAAACATTGGCTAAAGGAAACGAAGGGCGACCACGAGGTGCATGGTAGAGGTGTTGGCTGGTATTGGCAGGGCATGCTTCCGTATTCAGTATGACTGCTCCAGTGTTCCCGCGGTACCTGCGCCATTACTAGGCCAATGCTCACCGCAGGCCCGCTTTAGCCTAGACCCAACCAACATGGCTTCAAAATGCACTCGTTTTCCCTATGCTACTCCTATGGGCGCGCCATCTCCAGTTCTATTTCTTACCTCAGTGATTAGCTCTCGTTTCGCCATCTTTCGGATGAACTTGGAAACGAGAGTTGCCATGGTTCTCGAAAGGGATTGTTGGCATCGCTCACAGCTGTGCCTCCCGCCTGCTGCCGTCAGTCCATGGATTTCAAGGATCCATGATGAAATACCAGGTGATTCCTCAGCTCATAACCACATGCGTTCACATGGACTCTCGCAAAGAAACCCATCACTCTTATTTCCTCGTTTGTTTCCATGGCTCTACATGCAATTAGCACAATTTTACGAACTACCAAAAGAGGTCGGGGAGATTGAGAGTTTTTCAAAGGGATGGATCGTTCTCCCGTATCGTAGTCGCATAGGTAGATGGCAAAAAAATACAGGTGTACTGTTTGGGAGCCGGGATCTTGCAAAAAAATAAAAAACAAGAATACAGTTATTTGCGGATCGTCGCTGTGATGTGTGTTGCATCCTCCTTTATTTTCCTAATGCTGAAGTATTTAAAGGCTATGAATGCACACATGGCCATGGGAGGCAGTCGCCACATCCCCCCCCCTGCCCCCTGGCTGGCCATGTGAGAAGACAGGACGCGACAAAAGCACCCCTATATCTCGGTCTGCCCCTGCACTTCGTTAATCGTCATTGCGAAGGACGGGGAACCGACGCCGACGCGAAGATGAAGAAATCAAAGATCAAGGCGTTACCTTAAATCGTCGCCTCGTAGGACAATGTGGTATGTGTGCTTTTATTGGTGCACCCATAGGAACAGTATAGGCATGCGTGCTGAAATTGAAATCCAAACTTTGGCTCATGGCCCCTAGTCAACATTGACTCCTATTGGATTTCCCCGGTTTTTTGACTAAACTTCATTTTAAATACTAGTACTAACTCTTAGGAAAACAGTACCAACACAGCAGCCACGATAGGTTCTCAGAGGAACCAGTGTGCCTCATCGAGTCGAGGAGTTAGAGAAACGGGATGGTTACGACGCCGCCGACGTCGTTTTTCTGATCCAAGAGTAAGCGCTCCTGTGCCATACAGGTGGGATCCCGCCGTTTTCCTTTGGGAGTGACTCCTCGTGAGGAATAAAAGGATGGGGTTTCGATTGAGATAGGTTGGGATCCCGATAAGTATATGGGCGGAGATTTCCTACTGGCGAGGAAGTCATCCTTCATCCAGAGATGAAAGAGGACTCCATGTGTAATACGCTGGGCCGTTTTACATGTCCCTGCGGAAAAATCCGTATTGAAAGTAGAGAGCGAGAGGCGTGCATAGAATGCCTCTCTCTCCCGTTGCTAGGTTAGGGATGGCATGGAGTAGCATGATTATTAGACTTAGGCTCTGTGGTGTAGTGGTAGCGCACTCAACCGCGAAGCTGGAGGCCCTGGTTTCGATTCTTGCCTCCTCCATCGTTTACTTTTCGTCCACTTTTGTTATCCGAACTCTTCCCCCATCCCCCGGGCTATTACGTTCTCCAGAATAGATCCGGCGATCTCAACGGCCAGAATAAAATTACAAGGGAGACGTTTACCCAGAGGCATGCAGAAGACTCTATGAAGAGAGCACACAAGATCGCGCTGAGTGCACGCGTTTGTCATGTGTGGGCGTGCATGCCCCGAACCACCGACCACGAGCACCACCACGGACCACGGTAGATATTATTATATAGATGACATTGCCCAAGTAGCGCATAAACGCTTTCGGCAAAATCGTATTGAGTCTCATGAAAACCTGCTAAACCGAGGCGTTCACAATGGCGATTGTGGCAATGAGTTCGTATATCATGATGATGGTGTTTAGGAACAAAATATCCCCGTGTACTGAAAGTTGTATGTGTATAAATCTAATGAAGCGGTTCGGTTCGGAATGGGTGATGTGATAAACAGCGGATGTCAAGGAGACGATATGCTCACAATAGACGATTCAAATTTCCGCCTATTAGACGGCCAGCGTAACGGCCGCATGCCGCTATTCCTTTGTTATTCTTGTGGCCCTCCTCTGTACCCCTCGCGCGCCAACAATTCACGCTTATTTGTAGGCCTCCAAAATTGGATTCAATATTCCAACTGGGGTCTTATCAGCGCCGCATACAACGGAAAAATAACGCGCTAAGTCCTACTTGCAACCAAATGACGAATGAAACATAGAATCCTGCTGCATTTCGCCACCGTCGCTTGCGCGTTTGAGGAAAGCTTAACCCTTTCAGACCTGAATTAAGGCTGCTTTCGGAATGATATCCTTATTTGCATTTTTGAATTTTTTTGTGATTGTAATTGAAATCGTCATGCTTCATATGTAGGTTTTATATTTTGTATAAATTTACAATGGCATACTATATATTATATATTATACATTTAACGAAATACCTGAAATTTTCAAAATTAATGGGTGAAAGAAGGCCTATGATGGAATGAAGTCATGCATAATTGCGCCCATTGTAGCGTTATATGGAGCGCAAAATTACGAGAATCCAACGAAATCGCCATTGAAATGCACGCCAGGGGTCTGAGAGAGCTAAGGTCATCGTCGAAAGAAACTCCTAAATTTCTCTATCCATTCGCCTCCCTCAGTTTTACCTCTCCAAACGCGTCGAGAGATCGACCGTTATCTCGACCGACGTGGAGAACTTTACACTTACTTTTATTAAACCTCATAAGCCATTACTTGCTCCACTCATCCAAAGGACTTAAGTCTAGCCCTATCCGCCTCCCCACTTACGGTAAAACCTAGTTTGGTGTTGCCGGCAAACTTACTCATCTTACCCACTACGGCGAGATCAAAATCGTTCATAGCTCGTATAGATAAAAAACATGAGCGGTCCAAGAACCGAGCCTTGAGGGGCACCGCTTGCGACTCCGACGTCCTCCGACGCTTCCCCATTTATCATCACTCGTTGCTCTCTTCCTGTCAACCTGCTATTGATTCACTTGCTCGTCCCACCCTGGATCCCGTGGGCCTTCAGTTTAACCCGCAACCTCTTGTGAGGAACGGTATCGAAGGCGTTCAGAAATCTAAATAGAACATGTCCACAGGAATCCCCTTATCCCTCTTCTCCCTCGCCTAATCTTAGAATTCTAGCAAGTTGGTGAGGCAGTTTCGACGCCTCCTGAAGCCGTGTTGAGAGTCCCGAATGAGCGCGTTTCCTTAGAGAAAATGAAGAGGTGGTCCCTTAGGATGCTCTTCATGATCTTCCCTACGATACTCGCAAGACTGAGTGTCGAGCAGCTGCAGATTTGCTATGGAAAGTTTTTCTTGTTCATCACGAATTGCAGCTTTTGCATATATACCCTTTTTCCAGAAAACACCTCAATTTCACCAACTGCAGTGATTATAGTCGTCAATGAAAACATCTACATTCATGACAACATCTACATCTACTTTTGCGAAGTTATTTCAATACAATCATCCATATCAGTATTGTAATCCGTAATGAGATGTAGTCTATAACTAACGTGGTTTAGAAAATCATTGTCGGTTATGAGTCGAAACTCATTACACCATGTAGTTTTTCTCCCTGGAACTTCGCAGGAATGTTTAGGAGCAGATGGCGAGGCGTACACAAGCAAAATTAGCAGTTGTCAGTGTTTGTAAAGTTTCTTATTGTCTCTTAAGGGTTACTCTTGCTTTTGATGTAGTTTTTTTTAGCAAAGAAAGCATATCAGTCAGATTTATTCCGAGAAAAAAAAAACGTGATTCAGCCTGAAAATAGTAATACCTTTTAAATTGCGTTAGAAAAAATTCGGGAAAACATTTCAATTTTTCTTAGACTGATCTACCCACCTATGAAAGCCTACTTCAGGAAATGTATTATGTTCCTACTCTTACTTTTGATATTGCTCACTGGTATGCGGGTAACTTTGGATTGATTTTGCTCATCTTGAACGAAATCCTTTTGCAATACTTCTGATTCTTGTTGTTTCTTACCCATCTATTTTAGAAGGGAGAATTGGGACACCAACTTCCTTGCAAGGCATCATTTTGAATAACTGGGACTTCCTTATGGAGCGCATAGAACTTCAAGTGTTGACTCATCTGCTCAGGGTGGGAATTCTAACGGCGAAAGATCGGACAGACATCATTACGCTTCGGAAAGAGCGTCATCAGAAGACGGTGTTGTTAGTGAAACTAGCTGCAAGAATCGATTTCAGCATATTTGAGAAGGTTTTAGACGCACTTGTTGATGCCCAGCACGTTGATATAGCTGAGAATCTGCGTTCACAGTGTGAGTGTATTTTGGGGATGAAAGAGCTCATATAATTTTCAAATTTATCTCAAAACCCTACTCCATACTCATTATTTTCAGGGATGGACATTGCTAGGGAGCACCCAGACCTTATAGACACAATTATGAGCGGGTGAGTCACTAAGCTTCCTGTCTTTCTAAAAGTATTATGACATTTGGAAAAGAAACCCTCAGATAATGTACACTATGATTTATAAAATTGGGACCCCTTAAATATTTTTTAGAACTCTTATATAACGCACATTTACATAATATGAACGATTATAGTTCAAAAGCAATAATAATATTGATAGTCGCAGCCACTGAGCTAGAAAGAGAACTGGAGATGGCGCACAATACGATGGCTTTGGGGCAATTGGAAGCCATCTTAGTTGGGTCCGTGGTGGCTCTTCTCCATTCACTACTATGGGATTTTCATAATTTCCCATCTCAGTTTTCTTGCTGTCGTGATCATGGTGGCAGGCAGTCATGGTACCGGAGGCCTAATAATTCTTGGGGGAGTATCATAGGGCTGATAACGTCATGTCGGAACTTCGGCCAATGCGCACCGCAGGCCCGCTTTAGCCTGGACCCAACCAATATGGCTTCAAAATGCACCCTTTTCCCTATGCTACTCCTATGGCCGCACCATCTCCAGTTCTTTTTCTTAGCTCAGTGGTCGCAGCTTGTATTAAAATGTCCGCCATCAGCTGAAACGCATGCGGAAAGACCACTGATGCACTGGCACGTCGATAATGCGCTGATCCGTATCATCCCAGGCTTGCAGGATACGCTCGCGTAGATCGTCAACATCGGCGGACATTTTGAATGCAAGCTGTGACTGTCATTATGATTATTTGTTTATGACCTACAATCGTCCATGTTCATGTAAATGGACTAATAAATATAAGAGTTCTAATAAATTATTTAGAGAGTCCCGATTTTACGAATCACGGTGCATACAAGTCCGAGAAAATTGAGTTTATGAAGTTACTCATTCAATCTCCGTGGTTCGCCGAACAAGGAATATATTGATATATGAGAGGGATTCTACTCTATCAGAACAAAAAAATAAACATTTAAGATTTACGATGCCGTCCATTCCGATACTCGCGGTAATACGCTGTTGTCATAAGTAGAATGTGTACATGACATATGAACGTAGTATGAAACCTTTTCCAGGATGCCTTCACACAACGACATTCGGATGATTGCCAGGACAATTCAACTCGAGGAGGATGATTGGGAAGACCTTGGCAGGGAATTGGGACTTGATGATGATTCGCTAGGAGAGATCAGGCAAATGAAGCTCAGCCCGCTGGAATCAGCTTATCTCATGCTGAGTGAATGGAGGACATCGACATCGCACTACCGACAACCTACATTTGCTGCACTCCGTGCCGCTCTTCTCGAGAAAGGCATGGAAAAAACTGCCGAAGAAATCGTTGACCTCATCTGCAGAAGATTTGCGATGAAGTCAAGTGGTGATACTTACCTGGAGTGCTTTTTCAGAAATCTATATATATAAAGACGTATGTCCTGACTGACTGACTGACTGACTCATCAACGCCCAGCCCAAACCCCTGAACCCAGAAACATGAAATTCGGGGAGTATATTCCTTCTATGACGTAAGCACCCACTAAGAAGGGATTTTTCGGAATTCGACCTC